GTTGCCTCCTTCTGCTGGATCTACAGTGCTCCTGTTGGGCAGGAGAACACTCCAGAGCAGTAAAGTAGCTGAAGCTGGGTGTTGGAATGAGAGTTCCGGAACCTGGCCACCAGCGGGATCCCGGGACAGTCCCACGGGGACAGGAACAGAATATTGTCACCTTACTATAGAACAAGGACCTTCATGGCAGGATGACCAAGTATTATTTTAGTGAAAGCTACATGTTTAAAATGAATGAAAACCAATTTTGAAATCACAATAACTTTATAGGAAATGTTATGGATTGTATTTACATACACTTTAGGCATAATAAAAAAGAACACAATTTTTTTCAGGAACTGTAACAGATGAATAACATAAACACACCATGTATGTAAAATTACTAATCATGTCAAGTTAATGTGTGCTTTTCAAACTCTAAGCGTTAATAAGTAACGCTTGAGATGTGCCTTACTACTAACCTATAAACTAAGCTTCATCTAATCACTTTGTGCAAGAGAATTCTATCATCTGGATTAAAAAGAAACTGTTACTTCATTTCAAAATGACTCCAAATATTTCTTCAAGTCAAGATAACATGGCCTGTGCATGCATGACTTTATTGCCATGACAATATAGGGTTGCCACCTGTCTGGGATTCACCTGGACAGTCCGGGTTTTGAGTCCTGTATGTGCTGTTTCCGGGCTTCAGACCAGCTGAAACCTGTACACAAGATGTTACAATGTCAGGTGGACAGGGGTAAACCCAGGTGTTCCAGCTTTAGTGCATGGAGGAGGCATGGGACACGGAGGGGTGCTGGAAGTCGGGGAGCAGATACTTCTTGAAGAGCACAGGGGTTCTGCTTCAGGCAGATGTGTTGCTCCGTATCTCTCTTTACTCTCTCTCCTGGCTGTCTCTCCTGGTTATCTCTCCTCTCTCTCTCTCCTGGCTGTCTCTCCTCTCTCTCCCCTGGCTGTCTCTCCTCACTATTTCTCCTGGCTGTCTCTCCTCTTTCGCCCCTGGCTGTCTCTCCTCGCTCTCTCCCCTGGCTGTCTTTCCTCTCTCTCCCCTGGTCGGCTCCCCTTGCTCTCTCCTCGCTCTCCCCTGGTGTAACGTCCCACCTCGGGGGAGGTGTAGCTATGGATCGCAACAGCGGAGGATGGATTCGGGTCAGTATGCAGCAAGTCTCTTTTGCCCTGAATGGGGTAAGGCGGTGATCTTGTGGACACCAAGGTGTCCTACGGACGGGGAGTCATGCAATAGTTTCAGGATTCGGACATGCATTGAGGGTGATGGCTGTCTCTCCTCTCTCCTGGCTGTTTCTCCTCACTCTCTTGCCTAGCAGTCGTTCATCTCTCTCCCCTGGCTGTCTCTTCTCTATCTCCTGGCTGTCTCTCCTCACTCTCTCCCCTGGCTGTCTCTCCTCTCCCTCTCCTGTATATTCTCTTCAGAAAAATTGCTGCGCAGTGCCAGAGTGCTCCGGTTTCACTTGAAGAAAAGGTGGCAACCCTATGACAGTAAATATTACAAAAACACAATTCACATATCACAGAGTAAACATTTCCAATACCCAGGACTATCTCTAGTAATCAATGACAGTTGATTACAATACAAAACCCAAACTGCTATGAGGACAGAGATAAATTGTTCATTGAGTCCCCAAGGGTCATGGAGTAGGTCCTGGACCACATGAAAATGATTATTGCCACATGCAATCTCCGCTTTCTTAGTTGCACTGTGTTCATAGTGACTGTAATAGGGAAATGTATTGACTACAGTGTTCCAATGGCAAAAAAAAAGTCAGTGCCAGGTGATTAGGCGTGCAAGCCATAAAACATGTTTTACAAGTCCAATCAAAGCTGATGTCACTGATGCCTCCTGCCTTACTTTTATCTACTTGATGTTAGTGCCCTGTTTCACCGAAAATAAGACCTAGTACTATTTTGGGGAATTGCTAAAATATAAGACCTGCCCCGAAAATAAGACCTAGTTGTGACCATACCCATGGCCGGTGGTGGCATAAGGGGGAACTTGAAGAGCCGCGGGAGAGAATCAGCGGTGCCAACGAAGTCAGCTCTAGAGGAGGCGAGGCAGCACCAGAGGGAGCAGAGCCGCATAGGCCGATGCTTCCTCTATATCGCCGGCCTGTCACAGGCGGAGTGATACCAAATGCACTCCGCCTGTGAGGAATCGATAGTGAACGTGCGCTTCACTCATTCTGGCCAGCGATTTGGTTAGCAAATTGCTCTTGGAAAGGTACGACACCCCTGATTGCCCTGATCATCACCATATTTTTGTACGTGAATACATGTAGACTTTTCTACATGAATGAGTGTGGATTGTTGTACATAAAAAAAAAGACCTACCCAGTAAATAAGACCTAGTGTGTTTTTTTGAGCTAAAGAAATATAAGACAGTGTCTTATTTTCAGGGAAACACGGTACTGTCATCCAGTAACTGTGCACAAGAGCTGATGAACACTGCTCCTAGTGACTCCTGCACACAGTCCCGGGTGCCAGTCCTGGTAAGAAGCCCGTATCTGCTCTTCAATAGCAACACAAGTGTAGCAGATCACAGTACATTGATGTCAGTGTATCGTCAAAGGATGATCAAAACGCAGGACAGGCAGAGGTCTCCAGACTACTGGGGGTGTATTATGAAGGGAGGACATGTATGACACAGATATGGATCTCTGTAAGATTTCCTGATGTCATATATGATACCATAACACAGAACAGACAGGGGAAGTCCAGGCTGCTGGGGATGTAATATGAAGGGAGGACATGTAGAAGATGGCTGCACACACTATCAGGGTCATTACCTCTTTGACAGGTGGAAACTTCTTCTTGCACTCCATGGAGAGGCCTCGCAGATCACTCTGAATGTTCTTCAGCAGCTTCTTGATGGCCTCGGGGCTGCTGGTGGAGGAAGCCATGTCGCCAGTTCAGGATCTGTGGCCTCCTCACAAAGAGAAGCGGAACCTAAGCTAGGGACAGCACCCAGAAGCCAGGCCTCTGCACAGCCCTCCCACCTCCCTATAACATGTCCCAGACTCTGTGCAGAGTTGTCAGCCCTTCCACTCAGCCATCAGCCGGACTCCCACAATGCCCCGCTCTCTGCACTGACACATAACAGCCACTTCCGCAAACCCAGGAGGTGAGCTGGGCCGCACATGCGCAGATCGCACAGATGACGTTGGCAGAGGGCTGGCTCCTGTCACCTGGATCAGTAAGGGATAATAATCACGCACCCAAAACCTCTGACCACCCCCTCAACCTCTCTGTCTTTACCGAAGTCGCACGGCCCTGGTCAGACCGGGAGGAGAGTAAAATAGTATATATATATATATATACAGAATAATACAGACAAGCGGCGCCCTCTGTGGAGGGTGCCTGTAGGCAGAGTCCTACGTTGCCTAGCGGGAATTCCGGCCCTGATAATTGGATTGGCATATGCCGACATAAGTGTGTTGTAATTTGCTAAGCTTATATTCCAGTAACTGTCGCTGGACTAACTAGAAGCTCACGGTTAATGTAAAGGGAATGGACACAGATCATATTTTAGCTTTTGGTAGATGCCAGAGAGTTAAATTACCCAATTATTATATATACGAGGACTCTTTGACATATGAGTTCCCTGGTTGGCACCTTTGCCTTGGCCATTATCAGTGGATCCTACTCTCCATGATGGAGTCATAAAAGACCACTTTAATTTTCATGAATGTAATAACCCCTTCCCCAGCAGTGTTAAATACTTCCCTGCAGCCCTGATCAATGCCACCCATCCTTTAAGGCCTAATTCATGCGTGAGCGTTTTTCTGCATGGATCTAGCTGTGCAAAAATGAGCAAAACACACATTTCCATGCAAGTCAATGGTGACTGTTTAAACCTTAGCATTGCGTTGTGTCTAAGAAAACTCTTATCGCGCAAAAAGATGCAGGAGCTATTTTCAGGTGGATGCTGCGCGCTTTTGGTCCCGAAGACATCTCTATGTAGGGTGGAATGTGCATTAGTAAGAGAAAAAAAACACGCAAAATAATTGTGTGAAAACACACAAACGCCTAGGTATGCACCTAGCCTTAGTTGTAAATAGCGTCACCTGGAGCATAAAGCTGGCCACAGACCTTTCAACCATCGCAAGACTTTTGTTGTGCGACCGTACAGTAGAAACAGTTGCACGCCTTCCGCCCACCTTGCGATTATCGTACGATTATCGCAAGGTGTGTGGGCACCTTAAAGTGACATTAAACCCTCAGATTTTTTAACATAAACCAATACGGTAATGTGTGCCTTACTGTAATCCATGGTAGTTTCCCTTCTCTTTGCTGCTCTTCCTTTTAAATCCTCATGTCTTCTCATGCTTGGGGAGAACTTCCCTTTGCAGCTGAGTGCCTCTTCCTGTAGTGCTGGCTCAGGTTGTGAACCTACACACAGACACCATGTATCCATTTCAGAGACAAGGCAGTCCGCTGCAAAACAGAAGTTCTGCCCAGCATGAGAACAGATACAGATTTAAAAGGAAGAGCAGCAAAGAGAAGGGAAACAACCATGGATTACAGTAAGGCACACATTACACTATTGGTTTATGTTAAAAAAATCTGAGGGTTTAATGTCACTTTAAGTCCATTGTAAATACACATTGCTCACCTCATTCATTCCAATAGATGGCGCTATATATGAATCATGAAATATCACTGTACTGCAGGTATAAAGTATACACAGTCATTCATAACGTTGGAGGCAGGCAAGCTATACAATAATCGTCCCTGCTTACTAAAAAAATACACTGTAATTTGCCTTTATGTGTAACACATTTCTAGACGAACAGCAAGTAAAACCTGAACCTGGAAGTCAGATACAGGCTTTTCAGGACGAATTACTTTTTTATAGTAAGAAAACCCATCCAAGTATCCCTGTGCCCTTTTGCCAGCATCAAAGATGGCCGCCGTAAGCTAACAGTTCCATGTGACTGGGCAGCGAATCACAACTTCGAAAGAAGCCACGTGGTGATGATGACGTCTTGTGTGCGCCTGGGAGGGAAGAGACTGAGCCGCATGGTACCGGTGAAGTGTGTTGTGAGTGTAACATGTCTGAGAGCGAAGTGCAGCCTTGTGCCCCTGTGTCACAGCCGGGGATGGCGGGGTCCCTTCCACAGAAGCGCTACTACAGGCAGAGAGCACATTCCAACCCCATGGCCGATCACAGCTTCCAATAGTGAGTGGCACTTTGCATCCTAGATCTAAATAGCAAGGCAAGAAAAGTTTCCCTGGATCGTTTGTGTACAGAGTACTGACATGTGGCCTGGAAAGCCATGCTGGAACCTGCAGTCTTCTAATACCAGCAGCATTTATTCTAATAGGCAAGGGCAGCATAGTGTTTCCTCTACTGTGTGTTCTAACCCCCATTTACACTTAAGCATGAGCATTTTCAGGCGATTTGGAAGCTCTTTTTTGTGTGCATTTTTTAGAATTGAGTTTTTGTTTTAGTCAGGGCAAGGCAAATTACTAGGAGGAGAAGATGGTTGTTGAGTGTGAAATTACGCAGAAAACATGTTATCCTGATTCTCCCATTAAAGTCTCTGGGGCCAAAAAAAATGCATGATTCTGCCTGAAAATTGACTTTTTCCAAGTACAGGCAACACAACACTTGGGTGAACAGCACTATTGAAAGTCATGGGATTCTTTGTGTTTAGCATTGTTGCGCTTTGGGAAATACAGGTGTGAATGGGGGATGGGCTACAACAACAGAATCTCTATCCTGGTTTTTTTTGGGGCAGTGTAAAATCCCTTTATTCAGTGTAATAAGTTGAGATCAAGTCCTTCTAAGTGAGACAATGAAGACAAGATGACACTGACACTTTATCTTACGTTGATCAATCTTTAAAGGAAGACTATGAGGTGAGCGATTTCCACTCATCCTCATAGTTAGAGCCGACCTGTGACAATGAGACTGCCACATGTCGGCTCTATTGATCGGGAAGTGAGCCGACACATACTGTCACTCGCTCACTTTCTGATCATCTCCCTGCAGAGAGTAGTGACTCAGTCACAGCTCCCTGCAGGGATCCCACCCCTCTCCAATCCTTCAGCGATGAATGGACGGGGGTGGGGGCGGGCATAGCTGTCTAGCTCTAGATAGGCAGAGCCTGCTGTCAATCAGCCATCAGAGTGGATCGCAACAGTATTGTCGGGATCCGTCCTGGCTGCGACGCTCTCAGTATATAACAGGCAATAGCCTGCTATATACTGAGCTTTGGGTCACTGGAGGACGTTAGTATATGTCCTCCTGTGACCCAAAAGAGATCTATAGGATAAAAAGGTTACCCCATAGTTCTCTTTTAGGGGGGCTGTGTATCAAGCAGTGATGTCACTTGTGGTAAATCAATTGCTGTCATTCAAAGAAGAACTCTGGTTGATCTTAACCCTTGCAGTGGGTCTACCTTACGCACTGCAAGGTGCTCATTTAGTCCAGGTGCTAAAAAATGAAAGTTATACCCACCTGATCCTCGGAGCTGGGTCTCTGCCTTTCCAGTCTCTGAAGCCTCTCTCCTCCTACACTGCAGCAGTGGAGTGTTCTGCAGCGTCCTCATGTCTATATATTGTGTATAGAACGTGATGATTTATGGGTCCTTAGACCAATGCAGCCAGGGGTGAGAGGTTCCAGGTACCGGTCTAAGAGCAAGCTAATTCCGAGGTTCACGTGAGTAACTTTTTTTTCTTCCCCTTAACCTAGACAAAAATGAGCACTTAACCCTTGCGCTGCGGAGGTAGCCCCATTGCAAGGGTTTATAATACTTCTGCTTGGAGTTCTGCTTTATACTGTGTAGGGCTGCAACAAACTAATTGATTATGAGAATAGTTGACAACTATTCTCATTATGGATTAGTTGGTTGGATCCCCTAGCTCTCTCCTCCACACTGGAAGGAGGGCACAACAAGAAGTTGCCAGCCTGCTATTGGCTATTGCAATTTCAAATGGCCAATAGCAGGTTGGCTATTGCACCAGCCCACTACCTGCTGTATTTACATTCAGCTGCCGTCTGGGGAATCTTGCCAGTAGCAGCTGTCATTCCTGGGCTGAAGCTATTCAAGCGCCATGTGCTTACAATATGATTATTTACATTTTTTTTTATAAATGGTGAGAAAAAGTTATTTTTCGGTTTCAGCCTGACAAATTATGCTGCAGGAGGTGCGTTGCAGTGCCTTTCACTTCAATGGCACCCCAAACGTGCCCCCCACCCAGTGTGATCGCCTGCACTGGAACGCACGGTACCGCAATGCTGTACATTTCAGTGCAGTATTATTCTGTAGTAAACTTTGTAACACTGCATTTGTTTTACTTTATATTAAATTAAGGATGCAATTTATTTTCTTCTGATTATTTTCATAATCGATTTAGTTGGCCGATTAATTGATTAATTAAACAATCAGTTGCAGCCCTAAAACCACATGCACCAGACTCTCCTGCTGCGGATGTTTGATAAATGCCAGATTATTCTGCCCCTAAAGTATGTGCTCTGCTTATTATTTTACAGCCCACTGAAACCTGAGCAGATGGACTGGTCGGAATATTACCCTGAATATTTTAAGCCTCTATCATCTGATGACCGGCACGATGATGTAAAGGATTTAACAGAGAAGAAGGACGAGCTTAAAGTGGAATTTGCAGATGTTGGCTGTGGATATGGCGGTTTACTAGGTATAGTGATGAAGTGATACCAGCACATGTGTACACTATTCTAATACTTTGTATTTGCTGTTCATCCTGTTTCTGAGAAGACAAACCTCATATGTCCTGATATACAAATACTGTAGGTGCTCGGGTAACATTTCAAAGGAACAAATCCGCTTCATTTACTTTCCAACATGGTTTGTAGAGATGGTTTTTGGAAGCTAGTTTGGTGCTAGTGGACGTTGCATGAAAACATGAGGTCTGCAAGTTTATTAGCCCGTTATCCCCCCCCAAATAGAAAAAAAAAATGTGACTGGTGCTCTCGCCTACCCAAGGATGTCACTGGGCCTTCCCACAGAATCCTAGGAGAGCTGAAGATTCCAAATCCCATAAGATTGTGTTCTTGCATAGTGCTGGAGCATCTTCTTGGAAGGCTTTGGGATTTTAGGCCAGAAGTTTGGGTGGGTAAGGTGAATGGTTTTTTCGATTTTTCTTAAATTATTATTATTTTTTTTTTCAGAAAGTGGGTGGCTAACAAATTAGCAGACTTTTTATTTAAGTAGACTTGGACTTCTTGTTATTGCTTCTCAATCATTTGCCATTCCCTATTCTTTGTTTTGTAAAATAGGGTAGGAAATGTAGAATATTAAATTTATTATGCATTAAAGAAGAACTCTGGGCAGAAACAAAATTAACCCTTGCAGTAGGGCTACCCCTGCTCTGCAAGAGTTAACTTCGTTTTGATCTAGGGTGTAAAATAAAAAATATTCACCCGGACCTGCCTGTCTGCTAGATCGGTCCCTACAGCCTCTCTTCCCCTACGGCAGTCTAAGGATCCATGAGTCATCACCACTGCCGGAGTGAAGGGGGAAAGATGCTGTGGGGATCGGTCCAGCAGCCAGGCGGGTCTGAGGTTCAGGCGAGTATGTATGTGTGTATATATACACACACACAGGCCAGATTATTATGACCACCCCATCAGTACTTTGTTGGGCCACAAGATGACTTTGTTGGGCCGCCTCGTGACTCCACGAGATGTTGAAAGGTGAAGCGAGGAAGCTGACACTGCACTGTTGCCCTTCTGTTGTCTTGTACCAGTCTTATATCTTTTGTGAGAGCTACGGATACCCTGAGCAGCCAAACTGAAATCATCTTTCATGATATGATGACACTGCACAGAATTATTAGTTAGGATGGGCTTCTGCTTTTCACACAGCGTGGCCGAGTCGTCCACTCACAGACCCTTTGACAGGTTCTGTGAATGGAGAAACCACAAGTCCCATCTGCCACCGTGGCAAACGGACTTGTAGTTCTTAGTGGAATATATGCGCGGTGTATATTCACTCTGACTAGAAAAGAACCTGTGACCTAAGAAAATGGCTACCATCTTTTCATGCTCTTGAATGTATTTTAGGGATTTCTGGTTATTAAGGCATTGCATTAACTTGTCTCGGTGTATAGGAAGGACGGTTATGATCAGTTGTATGTTTCTATGTAGTGCATTTATTAATTGGGATGTGTAATTGCACTTACAGTGGAACTGTCTCCGTTATTTCCAAATAAACTCATGCTTGGACTGGAGATACGCGTCAAGGTATCAGACTATGTGCAAGACAGAATCAAGTCACTGAGAGCTAGTCACCCGGGTCAGTACCAGAATATTGCCTGTATCAGGAGCAATGCTATGAAATACCTACCCAACTTCTTCAAAAAAGGACAGGTATGTACATACAACATGAATGTTTGTTTTGAAGCATTTTTGTTTTGCTCACATGCATTGGAGGAGCTATTTTAGGCTCTTCCAAAGGTTTCTTTGTAAAAAGTGTTGTATGATTAATGAGATTACATAGTAACCTTACAGTGGGTCTTCACTGTCAAAGGGGGTTGCTCTGCATGTTATTGAACAAAGAGAGATTGAACACAGAATGTATCAAAACTGGAGCAGTTACTCATAGTAATCAATCAGCTTCTCTCTTCAGTTTGCTCAGTTGAGCTTTATAAATAAATGACAGCTTGCTCAGTTTTGATAAATTCCCCCCAGAGTTTCTTGTTGTAGAACTTTTGAGCAGTCTGGAATTATTTGCCCACTTTTGGGGTCAAGAGCCCAATTTATTCATCCTGTATCCCTGTGGGTCCTAGTAGCATTGCAGTGGGTTGAACAGATCTCTCGCTATCCATTTGCTAGTGTATGGGCAACTTGGGCCTGGCATATGCGAAACCTATTGTGAGAATGGAATTCCTAAAGTAATACAAAGACAAATTTACTTCAGAATAAAACTGCATGCACAATTTTCTGCAATCACACTGTGCTGGTGCACACAGCATCGAGGTACCATGCAGGCGATCACACAAATGAATGGCACTGCAATGCACCTCCCGCAGCACAATTTGTCAGGCCAAAACCGAAAATAACTTTTTTCCCCTCACCTTTTTATATATTTTTTAAATAATTGTATTGTAAGAACATGGCGCTTGAATAGCCTCAGCCAGGGAATGACAGCTGCCAGTGGCAAGATTCCACAGACGGCAGCTGAATGTAAATACAGCAGGTAGTGGGCTGGTGCAATAGCCAGTCTGCTATTGACCATTTCAATGCAATTACCAATACAGCATGAAGGAGAGGGCTAGGGGATCCAACCAACTAATCCCTGATGAGAATTGTTGACACCTATTCTCATAATCGAATATTATCGATTTAGTTGGTTACAGCCCTACTTGACTTCAGTAAAGAAAGTCAAACTTCTGTCCACATCTCCGTATTGGCCAGTGAAGCCACCTACTGTATTACACTCAAGGACAATATAAGATATATTTATATTATATTGATGATATTTTCATAATCTGGACAGAAGTAGAAGAAAGCCTTTTAAACTTCCATGCATCATTCAATTCATTCCATCGATCAAACTCAAAATGAATTTCTCAGTACACAGTGTGTTTTTTCTGGATTGTGCCATAACGGTCAGCAATGGCTCACTCTGTTCCTCTGTGTACAGAAAACCCACAGACAGGTACAGCTACCTCCATAATTCCAGCTTCCATCCAAATCACACTAAACAGGGTGTCATCTACAGCCAAGCAATCCGATACCACCGCATTTGCTCTCACACTGAGGACAGAGACAAACACCTGAGCACTCTGGCTGATGCATTTCGGCGAAAGGGCTATAGGGAAAAGACTATATCCAAAAAAATTAAATCTGCCCTAAGAACCCCACAAGAAAGACTCCTACAGTACAAGGAGAAGAAAAACCAAACCAGGACCCCTCTTGTAGTTACCTACAGCCCCACTTTAGAGGTAATACGCAAAATCATCAAAGATCTACAGCCAGTACTCTCAGAAGACCCCATTCTTCAAGAAATGTTCCCTCAGCCCCCAATACTGGCTTTCAAGCAACCACTGAACCTGAGAAGAGGATTGGTACGCAGTAAGCTGACCCCAGAAGAGGAACGGACACAGAATGGCGCAGTACAATGCAAAAAACCCTGTTGCAAACTTTGCCAACATATATGTGACAAGAATACAGCGAGTCACAACAACAAAATGTACACCATTAAGGATCATACTCATGTACATCTGCTAACGTGGTTTATATGATACAGTGTTCAGCATGTGACAAAGGCTGTTACATTGGTGAAACTGGCCTTAAGCTGCAGCTCAGGATGAACCTACACAGGAGCTCGATCACGAACCACAAAGAGGATGAATATTGCACTCCAGTAGGACATCACTTCTCCCAGAAAGATCACTCCATCCACAACCTCAATATTAAAGTACTGAAAGGGGAATTTTAAAAACTCTCATGAGAGGAAAACATTTGAAATAAAAATGATTTTACATTTCAATTCCATAAAGGAGGGACTTAATGTGGATTCTGGTTTTCTTACACACTACCAGAACTTTTTATGAATATACAGAACATAATAATCATGTATGTTGTATATATCTGATCTGTTTAGGGTTTATTGGTCATCTGTGTATTTGTTCTGTGTTCTAGTTATCAGGATACATTCTTTACTCCCAAGTCCAACATTATGACACCCCCCCCTCCCTAACAACTTTCTCTTGCTTTAAGTGGTAAACGTTGTCATGTTGATTAGTATTGCTTCTGACCCGAAGAAGAGAGGTTAACTCTCGAAAGCTTGTCTTTTATATACTTTGTTAGTCCAATAAGAAAGCTATCATCGCATACTACAATACTCCGTTTTGTTTTCGGCCTGACAAATTTTGCTGCAGGAGTTGCGGTGCCATCATTTCAGTGGATCCCAAATGCACCTCACGTCCCCCGTGTGATCACCCGCACTGGAACGCACGGTACTGCAATGCCCTGCGTTGCAGAGCGTTTTAAATAAAGTGCAGTAAACTTTGTATCGCTGCATTTATGTATTTTATTTTAAATAAATTATGGTATTTTTAAAAAATGTTATCTGATTAATCGGCTAACTAAACTATTATGAAAACATGTGTTACCTGCAGCTCTAATTCTTCTTCTTATTTATATGACTGTAATGTAAAATCTTTTGTTGTTGTAGCTGAGTAAGATGTTCTTCTTGTTTCCTGATCCTCACTTTAAGAAGACAAAGCATAAATGGAGGATTATTAGCTCCACACTGCTAGCAGAATATGCCTATGTGCTGCGAGTTGGGGTGAGTGAATGTAAATAGGACAACATGTTTAATCCCACCCATATCAAATTTGAATTGCTTCAATGCTTTAATAAGTACATGTGTTTTTTTTAAGTTGACAAATGAAAGTGTGAAAAAACCATAGTGTTTGGTTGTTTGACTTTCAAAAACAGTCGTTTTAGAACTAGGAGCATGCGCAAGTGCATGCTCGGTTAATTAACAGCAGGATTTTTTTTATCAACCCTTGCAGAGGGGCTACGCACGCAGTGCAGCATTGTAACCTTCCTCAGCGTACTCGCATGTATATACTGTGTTTACAACCTGATGATTTTCAGGACCGTAGACTGTTGACGTTGGAAAGACCGATCTAAGAAGAAGCTGGGGATAGCCCCACTGTTAATAGAAAAAAAAAATTCCTGGAGTTCTTCTTTAACATCTGCAATGTAGATTAGTGTTATCCTGGCACAGTGAACTGTGCCCAAGAAGGTTGACTTATTGGAGTGTTAGGCGAACCTGTTAGACAATTGAAACTTTACAGCTGAAGCCCCCAGTGTGTCCCCACACCAAATCCAACAACTGAAACGAATGGCAAACACTCTCATTCATAGCTAGCACTATACAGAGGGGCCTTGACGAGGCAGTGTGGCTTCCACGTGTTTTGCAAAAGTTGTGCAACTAAAACCTCAGTTTTTAACCTAGTTACAGTGTACCTTTTTTTTTTTTTTTTTGGCAGGATGGTGAGTGTGCTGGGAAATGTCTGTTTTTGTACAGCCCTTCTATGTGAACTTTGCTTTAAAGCTAGTTATGAATTTATGAGTGCATTTTGCCATTCGTTTCACTTGTTGGATTTGGTGTGGGGACACACTGGGGGCTTCAGCTGCCAATTTAAGGAGGTTGTGCTACCTCCTGGCGAACCTGCACACAATTCATTCTTATAAATATGCTCCAAGATGGAGGCTCTCTTAGATTAGAGTTAATACCGCACACTATACAGAGGGGGCCTTGATGGTGGCAAACTTTGGCACCCTGAATTTGTCTATAGGCAATGCTTAAAAAAGCCTTACCTCCCACTCTGGCGTGTGTGGGGGCAGGGGGCTCTTGTAGTTTTTATTTTATATAACTTTAAAGGATATCCCCCCCTCCAATGCTAGTGTAAGGACTTACCTTAACTGATGCCTCTTAATCCGATCATATTCCTTCCTGTAGTTTTCAGGAGTCCCTCCAGTGCTGGTGCCGGTCTCTCTACCTGAGCTGACTCCTCTCTACCTGGCACTTCCTGCCCCACGGAGTCTGTGCGGGTGCACCCTGCCTCCATTGACTTACCTTGTGTCTCTCCTCGTGTCCCGGCCGAAGATATGTACTGCGCCTGCCCCATGATCCCTTGCGGCCAACCAAGATTTTTCAGATCTTCGGACGGGAGCACGCGTAACTTTAAAAAAAATGTTTTTGCATATATCTACTGCTTGCTAGCAGTAAATATATGCAAAAACCCTCAGGGTTTAATATCCTTTTTAATTTTTTAAACCTTTCTTTTTTTTCCTTTTTAAACGTCATTGCTATCACATGGGGCTAATACCACCTTTTAGGAGGAGTGTAGAAGTGATTGGGCAGCTTTACAACTGCCTGAATCACAAAGATTAGGTTATGAGTAAATAGATACCCAACATGCCCAGGTTAAAAATTGTGTGTGTCCGTGAAACGGCGACAAAATTTAGTGCCCCAAAAAGTCCATAGACAACGCTTTAAAAGCCCCCACAGGTCATCAATTTAGAGATGCCCTAGAATTATTGCTCTCACTCCAGCGTGCGTGGTGGTGATACCCAACGTGTATCGCGTTCGTCGTTTTCATACATGGGCGCACCTGACGTGTGTTTATGTGAAGACGCACGCGGGACTTTAAAACATTTTTTACATTTATTTTATCTAATGTTCATTTTAAAAACTGTTATTTTTCTTCACTTTACTTTAATTTCTATCACACATTGCTATACAAGCCCCCCCATGTGATAGCAGATGGTGGTGACAGGTACTCTTTAAGGTGATGCTGGGGGTCCAAAAGACCCCCATTGTCACCTTTACACTCTAAGCTATTGAAGTGCAGATCGCACTTCAATAGCTTATAGCTGGGCTTCAGGAGCCCAGCACTTATAGCTATGGGACCGGAAGTGATGCAATCTGCATCGCTCCCGGTCCCATAGTATGGAGAGGGAATCGGCGAGCGGAGGTTCGCCCATCTTCTCCCCAGCTTCCCGCCGACACCAAAGAAGCCGGTCCCGGGCAAGTAGGAGGGACAACAGAGCCCGGAAAACACTGCGGGGGGTGTCGGGCGGAGGGAAGGAATCCATTCACCAGCCCATAGAAGCGATCTGGCGGCAGCTGAGCCACCAGAATCGCTTCTACTGTAAAGCTGATAGTTGCCATGTTTACACTGTATGTCGCTGGTCGTGAAGGGGTTAAAAGCCTGCGCTGCCCCACACTTCTTACACTGCTGGCAGCAAAAACATAAAATGCATTACTAGGAAGAGACACCACAATGCGCCCGCTGTTTCCTATGTTAGCTAGAAAAACTCTGCTTCAAATGAATTTTACTACTACCGTGTTTCCCCGAAAATAAGATAGTGTCTTATATTTTATTTTTTCCACGAAAAAAGACACTAGGTCTTATTTTCGGGGGATGTCTTACGTGTACCTGGCTGCAGCTGTCCGATCTCCGCTCGCGCGTGCGGGTGGCCGTGCGGGAGGGAGCTGCGGCCGCTCTCAGCACTATTGCCGTCCAGGGAGCCAGACAGTTGGGCGTATATAAGACCTACCACCGAACTCGGTCTTATTTTCGGGGTAGGTCTTATATTACAGAAATCCCTGAAGATAGCGCTAGGTCTTACTTTCGGGGAAACACGGTAGTGTCTGTCTTCTGGGCTGAATCCCACGTAACTGCCCTGCCAGTGATTATTAATGGTACCTTCCTTGTTCAGTGAAAGTGTAATGAAATGGTGAATCTGCTGTTTTCTCTGTTATAAATAAACCTCTGTATAATTATACTATGGCTTAATAATCAGTGTGATGCATATCTATTGCAGGGGTTTGTGTATACAATCACAGACGTAGAAGAAGTTCACGAATGGATGGTGAAACATTTCACGGAGCATCCTCTTTTTGAGCGGGTTTCTAAAGATCAATTGGTAAGATATGTAACTTTGACCCGAACAAAAGACTTATTTCATCGGATGTTTTGCTTTTTCACTCTGACCCTCCGATGTTTGTGTGTCTGCAGGCAGATGACATCATCATAGACAAACTGGGCACATCTACAGAAGAAGGGAAGAAGGTTCAGCGTAATAAAGGGCAAAACTTCCTGGCTGTATTTCAACGGGTAGAAAACAGAACATTGAGAAACAAAGAATTATAGCTGTGACATGAACAAACTGATGGATATCTGTCAAAATGTGAATCTGCAATAATTTGGAAGTGGAAGATGAGAATGCATAGGTCTGCAGCCAATCTAAAGTGAAGAGTCCAGGATTCGGCATCAATATAAGGCATCTAAGGATTGCTTTGCTGTTGTACACCAGGATTCATTCTGCAACTCTGACGAATTATTTTGACTTTTTGTTCTAGAGCAGCTAAAGTCTCTTCATTGATTTAAGTTGTGTGACTATGACTATATGAGAAGCCCCAGCAAAGGAATTATGAATTGCTACAGGGCACAGTGGCCTTCTTGTAGGAGACTTTGCTTCATCCATATGAATGGGCTTCATTTTATCATACAGTTTTCTAAATGTTCTTCAATTCTTAATGTAGAACCCCAGATGAAACTGCTTACCTTTTTTTTAACTTTTGGTAGATTTTTGAAGGGTGGGATTATTGCAGGGGAGATTTCTAACATTATTTCATCATTTCTAACTCCAGTGACACCCAGGACATTCCTGTGAGCCAAACTTAAGTTACCCATTTCTGAAATTCATTCCCACATCTTGGTTTGGGGTTGACCGTTGAAGCTGAATTGCACACAGATATAGAAAACACCAGTCAATGCAGTTATGTGTATTAGAAAGTTATTGCACGTTTTAAATGCAACTAGTGCAATTAACTGATTTTGACTTGGTGGTATCCTCTTGTAATTTTCTGCACAGCAGCACTCAGACTGAGAGGGAAGGGCAGCACAAGGGGTGAGTCAGTTGTGCTGCAGTGCATATTGGCTGTTAAGGCACATTCTTACATAAGGGGGAGAGCACAGTGAACATAGGGATGATTACTCCCTTGATGGGGCAGAAAGGTGACCAGGCTCTGTTGTGCAGCTGCAACAGAGAAATGTCAGGTCACCAACCTGCCTCTGCTGTTTAGCAGTTGTGTAAATCTTCGGACTGGCTAAACAGTTATATAAATATCTTTGCAGGTTAAACAGCGTCCATGTTTTTCAATTGTGTATCACGGTATTGGACTGGAGTCTCGAATGCTGAAATTCATATTCATAAACATTTACCTGCTTAAGTATTGTTAATTCTGCAGTTTTGTGGTGCAAACATTCCCGAGACCTCTCAGCAGATTACACTGCAATTAGGCAATACAGCCTAATCTAGGACACAGCCCATGGACTGTTAGGGAGATACAGAATGTCAATGAGTGCATCACTTTGCTTCTGGTGTCAGCACATGTGTACAATGGTAGATCCTAATTGGCTTTTAGTTCTCATCTTTCTCCCAGTCTTTTTTCCTGTTGTATAGTGCATAAAAAAATATATATATATATA